GAACACCACATAAAACCAGGCTTTATAAAAGATGACTTTCTGGAGTGTTTCCTCTCCACAATTAATTCACAGCGAACCGTACTGTCATACGTCTAGCTCACATTGCAGTTAGTGTCAGAGTTGTGTTGTGCAGCAGGTGTCTTTCATGTCTGAGGCAGTGTGCTTGGCTCCGAGCCTGCAACCAGCAGCTGTGTCGTGACCACTTGAAGCTGGAGGTTTCACCAGGAGACGCGTGCATGCACAACAAGTGTGAACACAGTGACACACACGTAATGACAACTGCACAAACAACTGAGTGCGTGTTTGCACACACGCACAGAGAAATGGACACACGCACACACAGTAACACACTAACAAACTGCAAGGATAATTTGTATAATTATGCTTCACAGTTGGCCCTTATATTCTGGCAGTTGACTTGTATATGCTCATGGATCAAACCTATTTATACACAACATACATTTGCACACAATACATGTGCAATTACATTAATTCATATTAACAGCTGGGGAGCACGTAATAACCACACACACACACACCCATTTGCACTCACATATACAGACAGACAGACAGTAAGCATAAATGCAGTAACAACTACAATATGTTTGCATTTTACAAAACCATCGCTCATGAAATCGACGCATGCTCACATGCAAGCCCTCACATGCATAGACGAGGCACATCTGCTTGTGCAGCGGACCGTCTGCTAGATAAAAGGATCCCACAAGTTATCATGAATATCCGTGTTGCTGTTACATTTCCTCTGGTTAAGTGCATCTGTACAAACATGTGCATCTCTCTGATGATCTGTCCACATGCACCACTAAACCACCTTCCTTGTAGGAAGCAAATGGGTCTCAAATAAGTGGATTCATGAGCGAGGTCAAGAGTTCAGAAGACCCTGTGGCCTGACAGAAGTGGACTGAAACTGACTTTACTCCTACACAGCACCCATCCTATCTTGCATAGATAGAACGCTTTAGGTTGAAGTTGTAAAATGTTGCTTTTTTTGTTTCTTTCTTTGGGTTTCGTTTGTTTGAAACCACTAAAAATCAAGTTTTTAGTGGTTTCAACTATGGTAACCACTAAAAACTTGGTTTTTACTTGGCATGAGTTACCCGTCATGCTTCAACAGGGTATTTTTTTTCTGCATATGTATAACCAAGATCACAGTCTTTACATAATCCTAAGAGATTTTGAAGTGTATATAACACTATTGCTGAAGAAAGACATATATGGAAACTGTTGAGATTGGTAAACACACGAAATCAAATCAGCAACCTTTAAGCCTTATCATGTCCCTGCTTTGCGTAGATGCATCTTACACATGGATGTGAAAAATCTGGCATACATTAATGTTTTGAAGATTTCAAAAGGTCAGTCACTGCAAAGTACTTTCCACAATATGCTAAAACTTTGATTTTGTCATGAACCTAGTAGGATGAAAGCAAAGCTCTTCCACTTTATAATAGTACAAGACTGTCCAAAGGCCTTGAGTCACACCTCGCTCCTCTATACTTTGCTTCTGGGTAACCATTCATTCTTTAGTTTTTAAAATGTCCTTGGCTTTGTGAACCTTTGAGTTATGAACCATTCAAGCGCAAAAGAGCCATCTAGCCCAAGGGATGAACCACTGTTATGTTTACACATAACAGATAACCAATTTTTAATTGTAGACACAATGTTACTAGCATTTTGTTGCAAAAACTCAAAGTTCTTCCATTTCTTTAGCTGAATTTACAAAAAATGCTAAACATAACACATTTTGAGAGGCATAAAATATCATTTTTGCACCAAAAAAAGTGATTCCCAAAGAGCTATTAGCTGGAAACCTGGTGTATCTAGGCACGATGCATGTGTCTAAAGAATTTGCGAACATTTCTTTGGAAGAAGTGGCAAGGCAGATGAACGGCATCTGAAAATCATGTCCTTGGGTTCTGACACAGGATCTGTTTCAGGTCTTTGCAGGTTGATTTATCTACACTTTGCCGAAAGCTCGTGAAAAATGATCTCAGGTGACTGTTAAGAAGGGGAAAAAGAGGCAAAATGCCAAATTACACAAGAACTGGACTGAAAATCAGTGGCAACAGGTCTTATGGACTGATAAATCTATGAAAGTTGTGGTTCAAATCATCAACAGTATAAGGAGAAAGGTACAACAATGAATGTCCACAGCCATCTGTATAACATGGTGGAGGCTCTGTCATGGTTTAGGGTGTATTTCAGCCAGTGGTGGTGGGGATCTTCTCAAAATATGATGAAATAAAGAACACCAAAAAGTACCATCAGATTTTGATTCACCATGAAATACCATGTGGAAATCACTGGATTGGCAACAGTTTCATTTGTCAGCGTGACAGTGATCCCAAACACACTGGGAACATTAAGAGCAAAACAAAAAGCAGTCAACATCCAAAAAGAGTTTTAAATGTCCTTCAAGAAGCCTAGAACTATTCCTGAAGACTACTTAAAGAAATCACAAGAAAAATCGCTCAAGAAGGTTCAGCCTCTGTTGAAGAATAAAGGTGGTCATACAAAATATGAGTTAAATGTTGTTTTATGTGTCTCTTTGCATGTGTTATTTTGGAGGCTTGGTATGTGATGCAGCCTGCTGCCTCTCCAAACGTATGAATATATTTATTTGTTAAAGCAGAGCATGGAGGCAGAGAGGGGAAGAGCGTGTGTTATAGTAAGAGCTGCTGCTGATCTCAGTACAGCCCCGGAGCAACAGTGTGAGATCGACTCCCAGAGTGAATGAAAAGTTTTAAAATGCTTTAAGCTACCGAACGGCTTTGCTAAGTAAGTTTTGGAGGAGATGCAATTACTAATGTTCACTGGCAACATCCATATGCTGCACATGGAGACACAAATCCTGATAACTAGAGATCGAGTTACCCGTCATGCTTCAACAGGGTATTTTTTTTCCTGCATATGTATAACCAAGATCACAGTCTTTACATAGTTTCTATTATTTAGTTGTATCTCTAAAATGCTTTTGCACATTAGTTATGCTCAATTGAATCATCATTGAATCGTGCAGAAAATGGGATTGCATATTTTTTATAATTATAAGGAATTGTTTTAATATTGCATATAGGGCTGCCACAAACGATTATTTTGATAGTCGACTAGTCACCGATTATTTTT